ACACTCTCAGGGTCCCCCCACCCCACTGCCCCTCCCAGTTTCACACTCTCAGGGTCCCCCCACCCCACTGCCCCTCCCAGCTTAACACTCTCAGGGTCCCCCCCACCCCAAGCTCAGCCTGAAGCTCGGAAGAACCAGACCGAAGAAGGGTCCGTACGAGGCCAGAGAAAAACGAAAGGGTGTGTTGTCAGGAGGGCAAGCTCCAGGCTCAGCTAGAGGCACCCAGGGCAGAGGCTGGCTAAGAGGCCCAGGGGCACCTCCCAGGAGCAGTGCGTCCTCAGGCTTCAGCAAACACACCACCTGCTCTCTCCTGCCCTGTTGTGTTAAACTGGCACCCTCTGCTTTAACCTCTAAAGCCCCTTCTTGGCCCTGTTCTGACAGGGGAGCCGCAGGGCTTCCTCTAACACCCTCAAAAAGACACGGTGATGAATGTAGGTGCATTAGCTGTGGCCACTGACAGCCTGCAGGGCATGGACGCTGCAGGATCCTTTTGGGAGGGCAGTGGTGTCCCAGGGGCTGGACCAGAGCAGGGCAGAGGCGCCCAGGTGGGGAGGTGCCCGGTAGGGCAGGGCTGGTGGGTGGGCCTGGCCCAGGTACTCACTGGCCCGTGTGATCACACAGTACTTGTCAGTCGGGGCGCACTCCACCAGAGACTCGCAGTGCTCGTGGCCGCAGCACACGTGGCAGTGCAGGGCCTGGGCTGGGGGAGGAAGCATAGGCCCATCAGTCCGCGCCTGGGGCTGGGGCCGAGGACCAGGCTCCCGACCCACCCAGCTTTGCCCCCCTGAGCCTCCTCCGTCCTCCCTCCAAGGGAGCATCCGATCCCCTGGGATGGGCAAAGGGTTAGGGACTTCGTGGTGATGACCATTCTCTCTGTCCTTTCTTGTCCTGCTTGTGTGAATGTCAGGCTGTAAGCATGAGGGAGGGGTATGTGTTGGGCAGGTGTAGGCTGCCCCAAGTCTCATGAAGGGTCTTCCAAGCCCCTTTTCTTCCCACGGCTTCCCTAGCACCTATAAACTCATGCACACATCTGCCTCCCTTCCCTCTGAAGCTGTCACTGGGAAGAGGACCGGGATGCTGCAGAATGTAGTGGAACCACATCAGCTAAACCAGGAGACAAGATGGATGGATGAAGGAGTGGGTGGATGAGTAGAAGTATGGATAGATAGATGGCTGGATAGAAGAGGGGATGGGTGGGGGAATTGTGGATGGGAGGATGGAAGGGTGGATGGGTGTATACATAGGTGTAGTAGATGGATTAATGGATGGATGGATGGATAGGTGGATAGATGGATGGATGGATGGATGGATGGATGAATAAATGAATGAATGGGTAGATGGATGGGTAGATGAGTGGATAGAAGGGTGGATAGATAAGTGGGTAGACATATGGGTGGATGGATGGATGGTTGGGTGGGTGGGTGGGTGGATGCATGGATGGTTGGGTAGGTGGGTGGATGGATGGATGGAGTAGGTGGGTGGATAGGTGAATGGGTGGATGGATGGATGGTTGGGTAGGTGGGTGGATGCATGGATGGATGGATGGATTGAAGGAAGGATGGATGGATGAATGGATGGATGGAAGGTTGGGTGGGTGGACAGATGGTTGGGTAGGTGGGTGGGTGGATGCATGGATGGTTGGGTGGATGGATGGATGGCTGAGTGGGTGGATGGAAGGATGTATGGGTAGAGTGGCAAATGGTTAACAGAAGGAGGGACAAGGCAGCATGATGCATACAAGGAGGGGTGACTTCAGAGATGACCTGTTATACTTCTTACTGTCCCCATCTTCTGTCTGAATCCGTGTCCTCACCTACCAGATGGGAGTAATAACAGCCCATGCTACGGCCTTTTTGGAGGATAAAATGAAGAAATGCACAAAAGATTGCCCCTGCCCCACCCTTCTTCACTGGGGTGAAGGACTGCAGGAAGCTCCAGGCAGGGAAGCCAGAGGCAGCTGGGTTGCCTCACCCAGGGCAGGTGTGGCTCTGAGAACTTCACATACAGCAGGTGCGTGAGGGCTGATGAGAGGGCTATCTGCCTGAAGCCTGCTGGTGATGCCCACACCCAGCCATGTGGGGGTCTCCAGCCAGACCCTGGGCCAGGCTGCAAGTGGAATGTGGGTGGGCTGTGTTCCTGGCTGGCATCTGTGTGCTGTGTGGTTGCCCCCAGCTTCCAACAACATTGAGGGCTGGGTCCATGGGCTCCATGGGCAGGGCTGACATATGTACCGTCATGTCACATAGCCCTGAGTGGAAGAAGGGCAGGGTACAATGGAGGCCCTGGGAAGACACCTGGCCAGGAGGGAACACAGTTTTGATAGAGGGCAGGGAGATCTGGGAAGGCTTCCTGGAGTGGGTGGCCCCATAGGTACACGGATGGATGGATTTCTATTTGTATTCTGAGGAGAGACATTTGAGAAGAAGGTGCAGCAGGAAAGAGGGAAAGCCAGATTGTTCAGGGTGTGAGGCCCCAGGAGCTGCGACAGGGGGTGACAGTGGGTGGAGAAGCCAGAAATACCACATCCTGGTGTGGAGGCTGTGCTGCCCGGAAAGGCATATTTGAGCCTTTTGTGCTAGGACTTAGGGGTGGAGGCAGCGAGAAAGGTGCCCTGCAGGGAGTGTCCTGTAGGTGAGTCCTGTAGGGGCATCCTGTAGGGGTGTCCTGCAAGGGTGTACTGTAGGGGGTATCCTGTAGGTGAGTCCTGTAGGGGTTTCCTGTAGGGGTGTCCTATAGGGAGTGTCCTTTAGGGGTGTCCTGTAAGGGTGTCCTGTAGGGGGTATCCTGTGAGTCCTGTAGGGAGTGTCCTGTAGGTGAGTCCTGTAGGGGCGTCCTGTAGGGGTGTCCTGTAGGGAATGTCCTATAGATGTGTCCTTTAGAGGGTGTTCTGTAGGAATGTCTTTTAGGGATGTTCTGTAGGAATGTCTTTTAGGGGTGTTCTGTAGGGGTATCTTTTAGGGGTGTTCTGTAGGGGTGTCTTTTAGGGGTGTTCTGTAGGGGTGTCTTTTAGGGGTGTTCTGTAGGGGTGTCTTTTAGGGGTGTTCTGTATGAATTTTCTGTAGGGGTGCCCTGTAGGCTTCCTGTAGGGGATCCTGATGGGGACATCCTGTAGCAGTTCCCTGGGCAAAACACACCTGCTCTGACCTCAGAGCAGCTGCCCGCTGAGTGGGGTGATGGCATCTGTGTGCTCAGGGTCTGACCCTGACTGTTCTTGCTCCCCCTGCCTGCAGCTGGGTTCCTGGTGCCAGTGGGGCTGGGAAAGACTCCTGGGTTCCTCTGAACAAGGACTTTACATGACCACCACTTCTCTGCAGGGACCTTGACAGTCCCCATACCCTCGGGCTGTGATGGGAAGGAAGGGGTCTCCTCATTCAATCCTGGGAGCAGTGACCAGCTCCCAGCAGGTGCTGTCAGAGCAACATCATCATATGGGCCAACCTCCCAGAAAAGCTGAGCCCCCGAGAACACAGGTGTCCCAGGCCGGTGTCCCCATGTCCTGACTCAGCACCCCTAGCCCCTTCTCTCCAAGGCTGTGCCCTGACATAGGGGCTGAAGGTGTCTGAGCAGGGCACTCAAGCTTGACTCCTGCCCTTTCCTGATGCCCTGCCATCTGTCTTTCCAGCCTTCCCACTGCGGGTCCCTCCTCAAGTGGGGGTTGCTCCCCAAGGTGCTCCCTCTTCCTTCCACCCTCCCCCCATGTTCAGGGGAAGCTGATGGGGCTAATTATCCCTAGATGATAATTATTCAGCTGATAATCACATGCTCTGTCACCTCCCACCCACACCCCAACTCCTCCTGGCCCCATTTCAGGCCTAAAGCCAGGTCACCAAGGTCAGGGTAGAGTGGGGCTAGAAGTGGGGTGAACTAGCCCTGATTTTCCTAGGACTTGCCTTTTTGAGCACTGAGAATCCAACATCCCAAGAATTCCCCTCTGTCTTGGGGAGAGGGGGCAGTCAGTCACCCTAGCGGGAACCCAGGACCAGCACCCGGGCTTTCCCCACAGAAAGACACCAGAAGCTGTGGCCATAAGAAGAGGCCTCCAAGCCTGGCAGAGAGGCGCCATGAAGGGTTTCCCCCAACTCCCTGCAGCCCCCAGTCCAGGCTGGTGATCCTGGGTAGAGCTTGCCTGCCAGTGCCCGGCCCCTGGGTGCCCAGCCCAGGAGTTACCTCTCCCCGTCCCTCCCATGGTGTGGCCAGCGTCTTACCCAGGGCAGCAGACAGAGCAGCCAGAAGCAGCAGCACCAGGAGGAGCCTCATCGCAGTGTTTTCCGCCAGGGACTGGGGGCCACCGTGCCAGGGCGCCTTTATATGGTGGCTGAGGTCTGAGCCAGACCTGGTAATTTAGCTGGAAGGTGCACTGGGGAGAGCAGGCCAGCCTGACTCATGCCCCTGGGCCTCCCTCTGCCCCACCTCCAGGACTCTCAGAAGGTACCTGTGCCCCCTCTCTGCTGTCCCTGGGTCCTGAGCCTCTGGCCCCTACTCCCTGAACTTGAGAGTTCTCAGAGGGCCATGGCTCTGCCTCTGCAGCCTGGGAGGACAGGCAGGGCACTTCTGACTATGTACAGCCCCCTCCCCACAGCCTGGGGGGACAGGCAGGGTGCTTCTGAGTATGTGCACCTCCCTCCCCCCGGCCTGGGGGGCTGCGCAGAGGGCTTGAGTATGTACGGCCCTCGCCCCACAGCGGGGGCGGTGGGGGGCTGCGCAGAGCGCTTCTGAGTATGTGCGCCCCCTCCCTGCTGTGCTTGCCCTTGCACCAGGGTCGGCAGGGCCACCAAACTCGTACTGATGGGAAAACCGAGGCACTGGAGGCTGGAAGCTGCATCTGTAGTGTGCACACGAGTTACCTAGGGTCTGGCTGAAATGCTGGCTGTGGACACCTAGGCGGGGCCTGGAACCATGCATTCCTGGCAAGCTCCTGGGGGTGGGGTTGTCTGTCTAGGGCAGGCTTAGCTTGGGACAGTGGCAGAGCCAGGGTGCGCAGGGCAGCCCGACCACGTCTGAGTCACTACCCATCTGATCCCAGGCCAGGCCTGGGGGACTGTGGGGTGACAGGGATGTCCTGGGGTGGCAGGACATGGCCTGTTTGCAGTGGGGCTGTCTCCATTGCTATCCTCGGGGTGTTGTAGGGATTCTGGAGGCTGCGGGGCAGCAGCTCACATCTCCTGGGAGTCTCCTCCAACCCCTGATGGTTCCCTGCCTCAGGATGGCTCCCCTCTGGTCTCCTTCCACCTCCCCTTTCTCACCCTGTCTGTCCACCCCACGGGGACTGGCTCCAGTCCTCCCCACCTTTGCATGGCCACTTACACTCACCTTCAGGCCTTTCCCAGGCCTGACACGTGTCTCCCCCACCACCCCCTCAGCAAGATCACACTTGCCTGGAACGCTCTTGGACCCCCTGTCTGGGCCTGTGCCCTAGAGGTGCCCTCAAGGGCCAGAGTCCTGTTCCAGACTTCTCCGCAGATCTGGGAGCCCAAGAGGCCTCTTCTCCTTCCACTCTCGGAAGGCAGGCCGAGCTGCTGTGTACCTACCCCAAGACTGGAAGGTGGGACTGGACCCATGTGGGGGCCGTGCAGGATTTGGGGGACAGGCAGGCTCCAGGGCTGGGACTGGCTCTCTGCACAGGATGGGGAGGGGCGCAGGCTCCAGGTCTGGGACTGGCTCTCCATGCAACCATCTCCCAGCTCAAAGACCAAAGAGTCTAGAATTGGAATGAACACCAGACGTTCCCTGTGGCATGGATGGCAGACTTGTCAACAGCATTTTATTTCAACTGTTTTTAGCTTCTTTGAAAACATTCGTATCTGGGGACACATGGCATGGGGGCCCCCGTTGCCTTGGCCTCCAGTGAAAAGGAAGGGCCCTTTCCATTCACCTCCTCTTGCTCCATTCAGTCTGGGTCACCTCAGGGCTTCGCAGCTTCCTGACCATGGGTCACAGCAGCGTGAGAGCTGCAAAGCTGCCTCGGGACAGCTGGACTCTGGGGTAGGCGCCTTCGCAGACACAACCTCAGTCCTCAGCCCAGGTCTCGGTGTGAGGAACTGAGACCTGTGCTGTGATGGGACAGCTGGGTGTTGCAGGCCCTGGCACAGCCTCCGAGGGAAGGGGGAGGGGCTCCAGGCACAGCTGCCAGGAGGTCCCGGGTGGGTACCTGGAGGCAGGGAGCATTTCTCCAGCTTCCCAGCAGGGCCCTGCCCCAGGGAAAAAGGCATGGTGAGCTGCCAATGCCACCATGGACGGCATGGACTGTGATGCACTCTTCCCAGTGCCACAGGGCTCTGATCTGTGAGAGGGAAGAAGGGGCAGGGTGGCCGCAGCAGTGGGGGGCTGGGAAGAGAACCCTACTGCTGTCCTGAGGAGTAACCAGTCCGCGCAAGGCTGGGTCCCTTCTCGCTGCAGGGGCAGGGCAGGGGCTGGGTGAATGGGTGCATGTGAGTGTGAGTGTGACTGTGTGTGAGACTGTGACAGTGTGAGTGTGTGTGACTGTGAG